TCTACCCAGAGGGACTGCTCCTATTGTCCTGCTTTCAGATGCCGGGCCTATGCCTGCCAGAAAGCCCATCGTGTGGTCAGAACCAGCTTCCTGACAGCCAGGGGGAAACAAGGGAAGTGTTCGCCGAGGGCCAAAACACACACACGCACATGCGGTCCAGACTCACACACTCTGTACCAAGACAGACCCAAAAGACACCTTCCCAGCAGACTGTTTTGTGCGTACGGGGTGCGGAATAAACTAAAATTACCTGCAACAGCTCCCAGAGAAACCCAAAATGGCGTATCGTCGTGTACCCCAGAACAGCTGACGAGCCAAGACGCGACCCCACTGCAGTCAACGTCATCTCGACACCAGGCCTCTCACTCCCCCGTTCTGTCCACACAGCAGACGCACAATGGCATGTATTCACTCCTCACAATGAGACAGTTATGCCGTTCGGCGGCAAAAAAAAAATGCCGTCGGCAAATTTTCTGAGGCTTCCTTGTTCTGTGGGTCTTTCTGAGGAGCAGGGTTCAGAGCTCAAAATGTCACTGGGTGAATAAATCTAAGGGGGCAGACTACACGTCGAGGGGGATACCATCCAAGACCCTGCACAGCTGAACCCCACTTTTTAACCCAGGATCCACATACAACGGAACCGTTTCCCTGATAACTACACCGATTTTCACCGACTGCTTTGAAAGCCTCAAATTAGCACAATAAGAACAGCAGCAGTTCCTGATATTCAAGCAGAATACCTACAAAAAAAGTACAGAAATTAGGGGACAATCTTTTGACTTGGGTCTTCTCTCACGTCATGAAAGATAGGAGAGTCAAAAAGGGAGTTTGTTTTTCCAAACTAGAAGACTAGATAAAATCTACCTGAATATGTTGTCAGGGAAGTGACCAATTTGGCTGTCTACTTTCAATCTCATTTATATAACTGGACATGGCACTGAAGCATTCCAAAGTCGGATCTGAACCCACAACCTAATTCCGAGTCCAGAGTGCTAACCCCTGCTCCACACTGCCATTAGGAAAATGTTTCCGAACTCAAAATGTTCTTGCCTGAGAAATCTTGAAAAAAATAACAATGGAAAGGAAATGAGAGAGGTATGCGTTTCCTTTTACAAAGGAAAGGAAATATCCATTGTCTTTCCAAGCGTAGCAGAGAACCATTGTTTGGACTTGGACCTTTTATAAACAGGGATTTCACTACTTTCAGGATTTTTGTGATAATTTTTATAGTGCCTGTTAACCCATTGCAGCAAGGAGAGACTCCAGTATGGGTGGAGGTGAAATCATATAATTCTCGTCTACTGGAAGGATGCTACCATCTTTCTTTTCTGAACTGGTTTTAACATACTGATGCGAACTTGCCCAGACCTTCACGGAACAATGTCTTTCCAGTCATCTATGCATATGTCCCATCTTAAACCACAGCTGGCTCTTAAGTAGAAGTTGCCAACTCAGTTTCATCTCTTCAGATTTTGGTAGCTAAGCACAGTTGAACCTGGTCAGTACAGGGATGGGAGCTCTCTAAGGAAGCCAAGTAGGTGCTGTACACGATGTTAGCGAACTAGAAGGTGGAGCCCCTCCCTCTGGGCAAAGTTTCATACCAGTGCCCTATCACTCTGGTAAACCAAGGCCTTATCTACTTGGGCTTTAAAAATCCCATGGCACAGTCAAAACAAGAAGAGGTGTGAACCGTAATGTCCATTATCTGGCCATTCTAAGGCTGTCAAGCTTTTCTACCTGATCTTCTCTGCAGTGGGGCTACCAACACATTAAGAAACAGTAAAAGTCACCAAGATGGGTGCTGGGCTTCAATGATCTGTAAGACTTTGGGGTCCTTTCTGATGGAGTTTGGTCTTACCATGGATGGGGCACCAGTCCATTGTAGAATCCAAGATGGAACCAGAACTTCAGAGCAGACAAATCTTCTTCGCCACGACTTTGGGAAGTGGGAGGACACTGGGACTCTCACCATTATCCCCTGTTAGAGTGGGTTTTCACCCAAACCCCATACCAATGGACTCCCAAAGCCCGATTCCAATTCAGAACCTGGGACTGAACTGTCCCATCCCACCACCTGGGTCTGCTAATAGACATTTATGTAAATTGACTACCTCAGTCATTTATAGATGCACAATTTCTTTTCAGCACCAACAAAAACTATTTTATTCACAAAGTCCTCAGTTAAGAGTTAAATGCAGTCTTGAGGTGCTTTTCCAGAAAGGGTGTAGAAGTCGGTACTGTCATGTACATCTTAAAAAAAAAAAAAAAAGTGATCCTGTAATTGTCTCTCCACAGAAACAGGCTTTAACTTCTTCCAAACAGACATGGGAATAAAAGATGATCACACAATGTGTTCCAAATCATGATGTCACAGCGCACTGTTGTTATTTTAACACTTGCTGCGAGAACACCAGATGTTCGCTTGCACTGAAGTGCACACAAACGCACTCCCCCTTCATTCAAGTTTCCAGAAGGCTTGAAAACTGCGCCAGGAAACTTTTAATATCCTGGAACCCCCCAGGCTTGTTAATGGCCCTATAAAAGTAAAGATTATATGTGGAAAGTGAATATTTCTTGTAACTGTAAGCTAAATGATGGGCACATAAAACCTGATTTACATTAAAAACAAATGAACACCTCTGCCAAAAAAATAATTCTCACTGGTAGACAGCATCACTGGTTTTAATCTGACTCAGCTGTTTGTTTTGCTTATTTTAGGGCGTTTTGTTCCAAACTAGGCATTTAAATTAGGAAAAGTTTCATTATTAAAACAATAGCCAATTGTTTTTCATTTCAATATCTTCTGAAAGGTATCACCTTGTTTTGTAAAAACTTAAATTTACTGCATTTTTTCCCCCCCAGTGCTTTTGAAACAGGAAAATGTGCAAAAACATTGAACACAAAAACAAACTTCCCATCATGATATTTCACCTACCCAAGTAAATGCACTTGAATATTTGTCTAACAGCAGGCTCAGCTGTGCTATGGCTGCTGACAGGCAGGAATAGTTTTTCAAACTAATGCAAAAAAAAGGGGGTTCATTTCTTAATTTCCCCATCTATAGCAGCTGATCGCAGCTTAAAAAGAGTATAAACAGCAACCCGAGGTGACTGATTCAATTACAACCCTCCCCAAGTTCTTGTTGGTCAAGGAGTTTATTTTTAGGCTGTTGTGAACCGTTATGTACCTAAATCTTTATCTCTTACTCTCATGAGCTCTCTGCCTGTGACACAGTGCAGGCGAGAGAACAGCAAATAGCCCTACAGGCACCACATATTTTTTCCTAATTTGATCTACCAATGAATAACTGTGACATTTAATAGAGAGAGGGATGAATTAAACATTCCACATTTTACAAGGACATACCAAGGATGAAGCTTTATTACCAACGTGATTCATGAAGTCCACGATTTGTCTTTCCCCTTTCCTGGTCAAATGCTGCAACTTACAATTGAACTGCTCAGTCACAGCATTGCCCAGAAAATTCTGATGCATGTTGACAATTATAAGAAACATTTGCTCCCCCAATTGAGAAATGAATTTAATAAAATGGAAGATGTTTGCCTGCACGTCTCTGGAGAAGAGGAAAAGGCTTATGCAGTTTTAGCTAGAAGTTTGGTTTCAGGTTGAATCCTAGCAAATGAGCTTTCAAAATTTCTACCACTAACGTTACAATTTATCATGGCGACACACCATAGTAACACAGGAAATCCAAATAAAGAAATGAATACTGTATCAGAATCATGTACAGTATTCATGCTCAACAAAGTCATGAAGAAAGCCTCCTGGTGATGTCTTCAGTAGACATTTACATGGTATGAAACAAAGTAGAAAAGTATGCAAATAGGTTATTCATTTACACAC